CAGGATGGTCTCGATCTCCTGACCTCGTGATCCGCCCGTCTCGGCCTCCCAAAGTGCTGGGATTACAGGCTTGAGCCACCGCGCCCGGCCCAAGGACACTATCTTAGGTTCAAATTTCTGTTGTCTACAAACTGGAAAGAAACCTCAAGGATGACTTTTATAGAGGGCCTGTATCACCCACCCTGGGTCCCAAGCTCTTACACAAGTTTTATGGACAAACAAATTTGCAAGTGCCAAAACATGTCACATTCTAAGCACACACATGTTTCCACTTGCTCCAAGCTGTCCAAAAGGAGCCTCCTAAAAAGAGAGCTTTCCAATTCACTGAGTCTAAACAAGAGGATTCTCCACCACCACCACCATTATGCCAAAGTTAAAACTGAGCTGCAGCTTCCCAGTTATGAGTGAACTGAGGGAAAAGGGAAAAAAATCAAAGTCTACTTTTTCCCCCCAAATAACTCAGCTATCATATTCCATAATACTTTTTTCGTGCTTCTTTAACTTTCATCTAAGATCTGTTGGTAGTTTTTTTTATCGTTAATTCTAGAATCATCCTTCAGGAATGACAAATCATTCCACACTTGAACAACAACTGGTTTTCACATAACAGCCTAAAAAGAACCTGGAGGAAAGAGCATGCCAGGAAGACTGACAGTGAGGTCAGTGGCAAAAGAGTAATGCAAAGGCCTAATGTGGCTGCAGCGGGGACTGCTGTGGGTGTTTTGCCAGAACATGGAGTTCGCTGAAAGGAATGACACCAACACAGGGGCGGTAAAGATGTGCAGTTTGGCCTCAGGAGACAAAAATTTTCCCTTGACATTACATGTTTTTGCTCTGCCCCTTTTCTGTGTAAGGTATCAAACTCCAAAGGGCAGCTGAGCCTCCCAAAGCCGAAGAGGCATTGAAAGTTATTATGATTTAACGCTTCATGTTTATAGAACATTTGGTTTACTCGATCGTTTTATGAGTTACATCAAAGTAACTACTCATTTGTTTTCTAACATGGTCTAGAGGGGGACGCAGCTGAGAAGGCAGAATTCTGGGACTTAATTTGCAGCTAGGCCGTTGCTTCTGTGAACTTAAGGAAAATGCTTTTTTCTGTGCCAAACTTTTTCCGCCTGCAAAACTGAGATAACAATTCCTGCCTTGGACGAGACATTAAGAATTAATAACACAATCGACTTGTCAACAAAAGCCACTACTTAGTTAAGCTCAGTGTTTTAACAATTCTGTTTATCGTTGATCTATGACTGCAAATAAAAAGTTTTGCAGGCAAATTTCGCACTTGGAAATGAGGACCAACCCAAATTTCAAAAAGCCAGCTGTTCGTCCCTCCCTAGGGTATGTGTCCCCTTGCGTTTTTTAGGGTGCCTTTCTTTACTCTTCTTAAAGGTTACAGGGCGTGAACCACAATCAGGTTCGATTCTCCACCCTCTGCACTCAGACGTGTTAAAACGCTGTTACAGGGACCCAAGCATTTAAATGTTCTGACTCAGACGTCTTTTAAATTCTTAGAGCTGTCTTTACACGCTGCACTGAACGTTAAATTGATTTTACAGGTATTTTCACAAGATATGACCCTTACAGGGCCCGAGATGAATCAAAATGCAGAACGGGCTCTCCCGCGCCTACTTCCCTTCTGTCTGGGCGGCCAAAGATTCCCAAGGGCGATGACTCTCCGGCCTCCGGAATGGCTCTCCCCGAGCTCCTCTTCCCCGAAGCCCCGCCCGCCGACCCTCTAAAGCAAACCTGCACACCCTGGGGCAGCTGAAGCTCTCAAGGCGGTGCCGAGAACCTCGGCTGGGGCGGGCTGGTCAGCAGCGTCTACACCCCAGAATCCGCCCGCACCGGGGCTCCGGAACCTCTCGTTCGGGCCCGGCGCAGGGGCTGGGGGAAGTGAGGCCCGGAAAGACCAAGCTGGAAGGCCGGGGAAAGGGAAGGAGCCGAAAGTGCACCAGAGGCTGCGTCGAAGGAGGTGGAGGCGGGGCCACACTCGAGGCGGGAACGGCAGGCCCCGCCCCTCAACGGGTGCGCGCCCTGGGTTGCCAACGCCCCGGGACGCTCGGGTTGTGGAACCCGGACTGGGAAACAGGATGGTCTCGGAAAGGCTTTTTTGCCCCTTCTCCTTAGTGCCTCTCCAGTGAAGGGCAGATGCTGAGAAAATGGTAGTAATTGCTAACATTTATTGAGGGCCTACGATGAGTCGGGCACTAGGCCAAGCATTTTGCTTGCCTTGCCTCGTTTAGTTTTTGTTGTTGTTTTGTTTTGTTTTTGAGACGGAGTCTCGCTCTGTCGCCCAGGCTGGGTTGCATTGGTGCAATCTCCGCTTACTGCAAGCTCCACCTCCCGGGTTCAAGCAATTCTCTTCCTCAGCCTCCCGAGTAGCTGGGACCACAGGTGCCCGCCACCATGCCCGGCTAATTTTTGTATTTTTAGTAGAGACGGGGTTTCACTATCTTGGCCAGGCTGGTATGGATCCCCTGACCTCGTGATCCACCCGCCTCGGCCTCCCAAAGTGCTGGGATTACAGGCGTGAGCCACCTCGCCCTGCCAGGCCTCATTTAGTTCTCAAAGCGTCCTGTGAGAAAGTCACCATCATACTCATTTTACAGAGGGGGAGAACTGAGGCACAAAGGGTTAAGTTCGAGGTCGCCATTTGTGGGGTCTAAACCTGTCCCAATGGTTCACGGAACCTTCCCAGACCTGCCACCCACGCCGCGCCCTGCGAGTCTCCTCACCAGGGCCTGGTTCAGAGGCGCTGCCCCCCCAGCCCAGCCCATGCGGGGCACCATACGCAGCTTCCTCAGGGTCAGCTTCCTCTCGAATTCCCACCACAGACTCCCTATTAGCGCTCATTCCTCATTCGCCTGTTTGTTTGTTTGTTGTTTTTGAGACAGA